GAAGCTTTAGAGTTGAAGCTTTTATTGGTGAAGCTTTAGAGTTGAAGCTTTTATGGGTGAAGCTTTTGTTGAGTATCATGAATTGATTTTGCTTCACACTACCTTGATCAAGATAGTGTGAAGCTTTTGAGAATTTGTAGTTGTCCTTCATTGATGAAGCTCTTGTTGGTGAAGCTTTGGAGTTAAAGCTTTTGTTGGGTACCATGAATTGATTTTGCTTCACACTATCTTGATCAAGATAGTGTGAAGCTTTTGAGAATTTGTAGTTGTCCTCCATTGATGAAGTTTTGTTGAATTTCTAATTTTTTTTTTTTTTTTTTTTGGAAACTAAATTTGAAAATGTAGGAGAGACAACATATACAAATTTTGCTTCCATATTGTTGACCAAGAGATTATGATGCAAGCCACATCTTGTAGTAGTCAAAGGTTTGGATGAACCATATAAATTGAATTTGCTTCGAACAGTCTTGAATTTGCTGCGAATGTTTGAGAATTGTAGTTGCCCTCCACTGATGAAGCTTTTGTTGGCACCATAAATTGGTTTTGCTTTACACTGTCTTGATTAAGAGTGTGTGAAGCTTTTGAGAATTGTGGTTGCCCTCCATTGATGAAGCTTTTGTTGGCACCATAAATTGGTTTTGCTTCACACTGTCTTGATCAAGAGTGTGTGAAGCTTTTGAGAATTGTGGTTGAATTTCTTTGATGAAGCTCTTGTTGGCACCATAAATTGGTTTTGCTTCACACTGTCTTGATCAAGAGTGTATGAAGCTTTTGAGAATTATGGTTCCCTCCATTGATGAAGCTCTTGTTGGCACCATAAATTGGTTTTGCTTCACACTGTCTTGATCAAAAGTGTGTGAAGCTTTTGAGAATTGTGGTTGCCCTTTATTGATGAAGCTCTTGTTGGCACCATAAATTGGTTTTGCTTCACACTGTCTTGATCAAGAGTGTATGAAGCTTTTGAGAATTGTGGTTGCCCTCCATTGATGAAGCTCTTGTTGGCACCATAAATTGGTTTTGCTTCACACTATCTTGATCAAGAATGTGTGATGCTTTTTACGAGTTGTAGTGTTTGCATTGTTAAAAAGGAGAAATGTCTGAAGCAAATGTAAGAGGGTTGGATAGCTTGATCTTCGTATGCCATGCACTGAAGTTGTTGTTGGCGGCTTGCAATAAGATTGTGAATGCTAGAAGTTCACATGTACAAGTTGTACCACTCGTTTTCTGGTTGGTGGAATGAATGGTGAGTTGCTTTCATCACTTGGTTGGTGGTACGAATGTGAGTTCCTTCATCACCTTTCATCACATTTCATCACCTGGTTGATGGCACGAAGATGAGTTCCTTTTTCACTAGGTTGGTGGCATGAGTAGCAAGTTGCTAAATGATATTAGAGTACGGGTTGTACATTTCATCACCTGGTTGGTGGGCATGAGTAGCAAGTTGCCAAATGATATTAGAGTACGGGTTGTACATTTCATCACCTGGTTGGTGGCATGAAGGAGAGTACAGGTTATACATTTCATCACCTGGTTGGTGGCACGTAGATGAGTTCCTTCTTCACCTGGTTGGTGGCATGAGTGGCAAGTTGCCAAATGATATTAGAGTACATGTTGTACATTTCATCACCTGGTTGGTGACATGAATGAGAGTACGGGTTGTACATTTCATCACCTGGTTGGTGGCATGAAGATGAGTTCCTTCTTCACCTGGTTGGTGGCATGAGTGGCAAGTTGCCAAATGATATTAGAGTACGGGTTGTACATTTCATCACCTGGTTGGTGGCATGAAGGAGAGTACGGGTTGTACATTTCATCACCTGGTTGGTGAGAATAAGGGCAAGGTGTCGAGGCATATTGTAGCAAGTGTCGAAGAAACAAAGTATGTTGAACCCTTTTGAAGCATAGTTGGCTTATGTATGGATGTGTTGGAATGTATGATGTTTATGTATGAATGTGTTGGAATGTATGATGTTTATGTATGAATGTGTTAGAATGTATGATGTTTATGTTAATTGATATGAGTGATGCTTATGAATGTTTTGATATACATGAAAGGATCCATGCTTTTGATATGTGAACTATGTTGGTTGTAACACTTAGTATCACATATTTTGTGTTAAGTACGCATGTTGAAGCTCTGAGTTGGAATATAAGGGTAGGTCAGCATAGACCAAGTGTTCCAGTGCTAGGAACGCAAAAGACTAAGAAGAAGTTGTCTGAATTCCCTCTTCTTTAAATATTTGCCGAATGGTTTGTGTGACAAAAGATCTCAAGCGGTTGAGAGTCAAAACATTTGTAATATGTATGCCTTCTTATAATAGCATTTCCTTCAGTACCTAGTCCTCCACTTTGAAAGAGTGAGGCTTGGCCCTATAGTCATAATAGTCGATGGTACGTTCACCCATGGTTGTCTTGATACGAACTTTTATCCCTCTTATTGTAATGGGCTTGCTGAGAGTAAAAATCCTTCATCTTACCAAGAGACAGATACGTTTGGTGACTTAGCGAGTAGCTAAATGAGGCAGGAGATGATGCAATGGGTGTCTGAATGGTCAATATCTCCTCACTTGGTACCACTTGACTTCCACTTCCCACTTGTTGATAGGGGTTCCCTTAGTATGTCCTTGCTTCGGCGGATGCGTGGTTGTAAGCCTGTGCCATCACCTCAGAGTAAGTCTTTCAAGTGTTGGCATTGATCATGTACTTGAAGAAACAATCACATAGGTCTGCCGTGAAGGCCTTGAGGACGGTCTTGTCACTGCCTTAGCGCAGCGAGAATACTCATGGCTAAAGTGACCGGCATACTCTTGTAGTGACTCGTCTGGCTTCTGGCGAACAGTGTACAAGTTATCTGCAGAATGCAAGCGATCGGTCTGGAAGATGTGTTGAGAGACAAACAGTTTCCTCAGGTCCTCAAATGAGTCTACTGTCTTAGGTGGAAGACGGCAATACCAGTTTAGAGCTCCGCCAGATAGGGTGGAGGGGAAGAGAAAACATCGCTCTTCGTTGGTGTGCATCCGATATGCTATAGTGGACTCAAAAAGGGTAAGGTGTTTAATTGGGTCTTCCCTTCCAGTATAGAGTTGTAAACCAAGCTTTTGTTTTGCCTTCGCTTGAAGGGGGTGTCGATGATCCTTCTTGTGAGAGGGCCAGGCTTGGGTTAGTTCCAGTCAGGTATCTCGGCCTGACTTTCGGCCTTCAACTTGTTTACTTCCTCAATGAGCTATAGGACAAGGGGGTCCTGAGTGGAGTCATGTACCACTGGAATTTTCTTTCGTAAGTCTCCATCGCCTCTTGGAAGTAGGAAAGTTTGAGCAAGGGCATGTGGTTTTTTCTTAGACTTGCCGTACTGACTTCTAAGGCGAGTCTGTCCGAATACCTTAGAGTCCCATGTACCTTCATGTTCCTCTAGGACCTGTCGTTCCTTCCCTAGATTGGCAGCTAACCTGGGTTGTGGAAGGGGACCGAGTTTTTCAGAAACCCTTGGGTCATTGATCTTCGAGCATATGTGGAGGGGATTTTCTCGACGTTGCTTTAGGAAGTCTCGACAGTCACGATAAACAGCTTTCGATCCTTCCAACCCTTCTGCAATGAGGTGTCTTCCTCCACTGCTTCTGCTTCGGGTCGAAGCATATGGGTTGAGAGAAGTCTCATGTTGATCAATGTTTTGATGATTAGCTCGCTCCTCATCAGGGATACCCATGTCGAATGGAGGTGACCCTCCGTGTTAGGGGGCACCCAGATGATGGTTGATGTCCACATGGGCAACGAGCTCGCGTGTTTGAGTACGCCTAGTTTCGTGGAGCGTCTTAAAGAGCTTCTCATACTGCTCCTGGAGGACCTCATTCTTCATTGCTATCTTGTTGTTCTGAGCTTTTAGCTCATCAACTTTAGCTTGAAAAACAACCCTATTTCCTTCATTCTTTTGTTGCTTCGCACTAGGTGCAAGATGGGTGTTATTATGTGTGTTGTGGTTTCCTTCGCTCCCCATGTTGGAGAGGGATGCCTGATCAAAAGACAGTGTACGAATGGTGGAAACCAGCTTGGTAAAGCTGAAGAGAGTGGGAATAAGTGTCGTTCCCACAGACAGCGCAAATGTTGATGCACAAAATCAGTGAGGACTTTGGTACAACAGAAAGTGTTAAGTTTGTGACATTCGCTAGATTGCTTCCGTCACTAGTGTGGGTAAATATGTAAATACATAGGGACAGAGAAGCAAACACAAAATGTACGTGGTTCACCTAGATTGGCTACGTCCATGGAATAGAGAAGTTCTCATTAATTGTGAAGGGTTTACACAAGTACATAGGTTCAAGCTCTCCTTTAGTGAGTACTAGTGAATGATTTAGTACAAATGACATTCGGAAATATTTTGATAGAGTGATCTTTATTTATAGAAGAGAGTTTCTAGTTTCATTCTGACATTGACACGTGTCGTGTTGTGATTGGCTTCTGATGTTGACACCGTGTCGCGCTATGATTGGCTTCTGATGTCAAAACGTGTCACGCTGTGATTGGCCTCCTGGTTGAAGGGAAACTCTTCTGGATCCTTGACGATATAACGTTGATCGGTGCTCAGTAGTTTCAGGATTGGTCAAGTATAGTACAAACACACACAAAGTTCTCTCTGCAAAGCACGATACTCTCCAAATTACAGGCAATTGGAACAAAAAAAGTGTAATCTTTGTGAAAGCAAGGGCTTGTGGTTTAATACTACAAGTTCTGGATCACCTATAACAATCCTACAAGGAATATGAAACTAAATCCTTGTATAATCATGAGTACTAAACTCAAGTCCCAAGTAGAGTTCTAATCCAAACCAAAACTGGATTTACTCTTATAAACACACTGTGACTTCTTCATTCTAATCTAAAATAACTAAACCGTGTGAATCACACTCATACTCTAACATTCTCCCGCTTGAGTATGATTCACCACAATAAATAATCATCTCAAATTATGTGATCACTTTTATGTTAAGCTTCGCATTTACTCATTCCTGAGTTTCATCTATCAACACTTTATTGTCTGTGAAAAGCATACACCAAGTAATATCATCTTGAATATGTCCTGTTAACTCATCCATTACAATGCAAAAAGCTATTCACCAATATGAATAACCAAGTATAATTCTTAAAACAGCTTTATCAAAAACGCAAATATTAGCATACATTAAATTGCCTACTAGAGAGGTATATGGCTTTAATTTCATCTTTTCTTTCTTTAACAAATTCTTTGGACTTTGCTGTTGATAAAATTTGTCACCCTTATTCACAAGGACATCAGCACTATTGCAATGTTCCATGTTAAACCTAGCCAGGATTCTCTCAATGTGCCCCTTTTGTGAAAGCCCCAATAGGATTCTTTTTCCTGTCTCTAATTATCTCTATACCAAGTACATAGTGAACTTACCCCAAATCTTTCATTTCAAAATTGGTACTGAGCATTGTCTTGGTTTCATGCAACAATTGCACATTCGAGCTTGCTATCAATATGTCATCCATGTATAGAACCAAGAAAATAAACTTGGTACCCTTGAACTTGTAATATGTACAGTCATCTAGCTTGTTCTCTATGAAGCCATTGTTGTAACCACTTTGCCAAACTTGAGATACCATTGCCTACTTGCTTGTTTAAGTCCATAAATGGACTTATTGAGTTTGCAGACCATGTTATCCTTCCCCCTTCCAACAAATCCAGTTGGTTGCCGCATACAAATGTCTTCCTCTAATTCTCCGTTGAGAAAAGCTGTTTTGACTTCCATCTGATGCACTTCTAAATCAAAATAAGTTGTTAAAGCCATGATCACTCTCATAGTCTTTTGAAGGGACTGGAGAGAAAGTATCACAGAAATTGATTCCTTCCGTCAGTGTAAAGACGTCAAACTCTGGATACTTCCAGGTGCTTAAAAATTGTCAAAATAATATCCAACACATAGTCCTATGTTCTTGAAGCTCCACAAAAGTTCAGATGATGCCACCTAACTGCCAAAAGACGGTTACAACATATAAGTAAATGAATTGCAAGCCTAAAGGAAAGACAGACAAGAAAATTAATTTCATGTTTCATCATAAGCCTTACAAAAATCTTGACGTTAGTGGTTCAAAATGGACAAGTACCCACCCCAAACTGATCAAGATCAGATGTTTAGTTCAGACATTCGATACCTCATAACAAAATGTGAACATCAAGCAACGAATACTCGCTACTTAACGTGAGAACAAGAAATTATACTTATTTACTCCCCCTGACAATGTTTATTTTCAGCCATCATACATCTGGAAAGCCCAAATATCATCCAAAACTGGTCCCCAAACTAAGATGCAGATTAACTTATAACTTTTCTGCATGGAAATTTTAACTTCTAAATGGTTTACATGAATATAGCCTACCGCACTATTTCATGAGCAATATCTAGTCAGAATTCCGGTTTCACTGCCTTATGACTCACGCATCAAATGAATCACCATCCATTGTATAGCATAGCTTTCAGGCGAACAGAACTCGCCTATTAAACGGTGAGGAGGAATTTCCTCCTTACTGCTGGCTTGACATAAATTTATTTGCATGAATTGGGAAAAAGGGTGACTCCCACCACTTTCACCAATTCATTTGAATAAATATATGCCACATTGGTAGCCAGTCAATAGGTAATCATTATTCTTTTTCACCAAGCTGATTTTTTTCCTATGATTAGTAAAGAATAATGATTACAAATCATGAGACAAAGGGAGCACTTAAGGCTCAAGAATTCATTGCAGGGATAGTTGATATATCAAATCAATAGTGTAGAAAATTTCACAGCAAAAGCACAAGTTCCACATACCATCATGGCCTCAATCTCCTCTTTGGACAATGGTGTTCGTTCGGGTTGTTCAGAAGCTTTTCCTCCCAAGGTGGTTGAGGCCTTTGAACCTGAGAAGAAAGTGTGAGAAGAATCACCAGCCAAACCTTGAGTCTGAGGCTCAGTACCTGCAAGTAAACAATTACAAGTGTTAAACGGAAACAAATTATGACCCAACAAACATGAGTACGTGACTACCAGCATGAGGGCAAACAGTGAATGAACTTCTGATATTTTTCAACAAATGACTGCATGTTATCTCTCTAACATTATGGGATTTCCCACTTGTTTCACCTACTTATCGACGCATCAGCAAGAAACTGCCTAACGGACTAAAGATCAAGCTACTACGGATAAAATTGGATGTTGGATGCTGCATTACCACCACCACCACCCCCAACCTCAGAAAGTAAAATTCAAGACCTTAAACAATGTAGAACCAGCAGAAATTCAAAACGTGTATTCAGAAACTCCCAATTGGCATCGTCAATGTCCGCGTCATAATCACTAATCTAAATGAAATAACTTCCTAATGGGATTTTAGCACTACCCTAACCCTTAATTCAGCATTTGCCTGATGCAGCCAATCTGAACTGTTTCATGAACTCAAGCTCAAACAAGCGGAAAATTCAATCGAAAAATCGAGCCAGCCAATCTTAACAAACCATCCCATTGAAATCACACTGTTGTTAAAAAATTAGGCGTTTTTTATGACATCACAAATCCAATCTATGCTTTAATTTAAATACAGAGAAGGATATATTTCTAAATTTACAAGAAAAGCACACAAATTTGGGACATTCAAGAGAAACCCATTAAATTGGATCATAAATACAGCTTAAATTTTAAAAAATACGAACATGCATAAATAATTAAATTTATTAAAGATGAAAATCGAAACAATGGTTTGAGAAAAGGAAAAGAGAGACGGACCAGAAGGTTTGGGGTGTCTCTGAGGAAACTTGATGCGAGGTATCCTCTTCATCGCCTGGGCTGCACCCATCTCTCTCTCTCTCTCTCTCTCTCTCTCTCTCTCTTCTGTAGTACCAGTTCCTCCGGAGACGACGATTGAAAAAGAAGAGCTCAAATCTGCCACCAGCGATTTGTTTGGCTACTCGGGGATGAACACAAGTTGCTACAAAGGTCAGTTAGTTCAAGGGTGCGGGTTGCCGGGTCGGAACGTCAATCTAAATCGTGATCCACCCTTTTCATAAACTGGGTTGGGCTTGTGATCAAGTTCGGGTTCTATCGGGTCGTAAATAGGAAGTTCATAACGGAATCAAGTTCAACTTTGCTACACGATGGATGAGTAGTTTCTCTTCAAAACACTGTGATCGACTTTCAGAATTTTTTGACTATGATCCGTTAAAATATAAATTACTGTATTTTTTCTGAAAAAAAATCTCATATTTTATTGAATTTTAGGAGATATGATTTTTACAGAATGATCTATAATATTAACGGTTCGAATCATAATAATTAAGCATAAAGAACTGTGAATTAGCCACGCAGCGTTTTGAGGGGTAATTCATCTTCATTCTTGAGTAGCCAAATATTTTTCTTGCAGAACATCATATCCGTGCGTACAATATTTTTTTTTTCCTTAAAAGAGAAGAAAATGTTAGCGAGATTATGTTTTTTTAATGAGTATTACCACATTGGTGTACGATATAATATGATAAATAATGCATCAATCAACATCTATTAAGATAAATTAATTAATTGAAATGACATGTATACATTACTTATTACATCAAATGAGACACCAATGTGGTATATATTCTTGATTAGTTTTGGCTGGCCAACTGGAAGTCTTCAAGTGCCTTTTGAAACTACTCCAACTCTTGTAAGGGTTACATCGTTTGACCAAAGGACGCGATTGGTATCTTTGCAGTTGCATGAGAAAGAGATGATCAAATTTGGTTTGTAATACCCTTAGTGTGGCGTTTGGTTGCATCCCCTGCATGTTTTGCAGTTGCATATTCGTGTTTAACATACATGATTAAAACTTACAATGATATATCATGACTACTGCAAAATTGGTATACGGCAGTACCTGTTCCAGGCGGTGGTATCTAGCAGTGAAGTTAAATCAGTTGGCAATGGTTGCATGTAGGAATTTTTGAAACATACTTACATAAGTTTGTTTCCTAAGAAGTTACCTACGTCTGTCAATGAATATATATATATATATATATATATATATATATATATATATATGTATAAGGAGACTAAAAGATCAAAGAATTTGATTAATATCAGATTATGATTAATAGGAAACTGGAATCCGAATGAATCAATTAAAAGAACATAAACAAATAAAACTAAATTAAAAGTAGATGTAGTATACATGATGAAATAATGAATTAAAATTAATGATGCAAATATAAATTTGAAAGTAATTTTATTTCAAATTGGAAACCAACTTACAGTTCGTCTACTGACAATTGATTGAGAAAACAATGGAGCTCGCAGGCATCCTTGATTGAAAATTAAAAATACAAGTGTTTAATATTTTGGTGGATGAAGATGATGCTCAAAGATGGCTTCTGTTCTTAAGAGAATTTGCAGAAGTTCTGAGTTCGACCGAAGTCCCCTCCACCTTGAATCCAACCTCCTTTTGTAGAGAGAAGGATGATAATTGAGATTCGGGAATCTCGCTGTCCTCTGCCTAATGCATGTGCCAAAGGCTGTAAAGGCTGAGAAATGATGAGGCTTTCACTGTGAAATCACGATGATGATGTCTGGAGTGGTAAATGAATAGTAAAAAAGTGAATATTACTATTCATGAATAGTAACTTGTTGGGTGAATGATTGCTGCTACTGCTGAATGCTGTTTTTACTGTGGAATTCACTTGACCTTTAGTGTGCGATTTACAAATCATAGGGGTCTTGGGCATCTGGATACGGATCTTGGGCATCTGGATATCTTTCTACTCGATCCGCCCATTTCTTCGGTTGAGACGAAACGTTTGATGAGTCTGAGCTGGAAACATCTTCTTCTTCACTAGAACTTTGGAGCAAAGCTGCTTTTGCTATGAGCTTATCGGCCATCTTCAGGAGTTGGGAAGATTTTCCTTTTTTCTTTGAGCTGGAAGATTTGGAGGATTTTGCTGTCTTGGACTGGTTGCCTTTGATAGAGGATGAGGGACTAATGTCCGATAATGACTGAGTGTTTTCTGGGATTTCTGGCAATGCTTGGGTAGATGATGGTGATGCAGAAGGCAATGCATGTGAAGCTGTTGCTGATGGAGTTAAAGCTGGAGCAGGAGAGCTTGGGAATTCCGATGAGACTAGGCTGATAATTCTGCCACAGTCGAATTTATCCCACCGCTTGACCCAGCGGGCTCTGTAAATTTCTCCTGTTTCATACTCATAATTCCATTTAAATATCCAAGGGACTCTGTATTTTGCCATAAACAATGAAAGGAGGGTGATTCTAGAGTCAAAACGACTTCTGTCAAAATGCTGTTGGAAACCAGATGAAAGAAATTGCATGAGATTTTCTGGGAGTAAACTGGCTGTTGGGCCATGAGTGGACCACCAATTTGGAAACCAGGTTGGGAAGTTTAATTTGAAATTTTTATCAAAGGTTACGAACCATGAATGAGAAAAATCAGGTGTTTGGTGAAGGAAAATATTGGTCCAAGCTTGGATGTAATCAAAATAATTATATCTGTTGTTTGGGATGAGTTCATTTTGGATGGCTAATTGTTTGGTATGGTAGAGGGGGATTCCCCATTCTTGTTCAGTGATGAATTTTCCAATGTGGATTGAATGGTACAGAAGTTTAGGAGTTTGATGGGTAGTGCTATAAATGGGTTTGATGGAAACTTCTTCAGTTGCAGAGAGAATAGCTTGATAATATTGAAGGGACTTGAAATTTTCAGTATGCATGTAATGGAGATTTGGGGGAAAAATGGTTTTGGCGATTTTGTCTGGCGATTGCCGTTTATTGATATGATGAGGGATATAAAAAAGTTGTTCCATAGGATGTTTTTTGACATAAGGGGATGTTTTAGCAAAGCTAGGTGTTTTTTGGGTTGAAGGTGATGGCATTGAAGAATATGGGTCATAGGGACTGTCTAAAGCCGTTTGGTAGTTTGGTCTGAATTGGCCAACGGTTGATCCTAATGGAGATCCTAAGGGAACAAATCTGTTTGTTATGGCTAAGGCTGATGATGAGGAATCAGGAATAGATTCCTTTTTTGGTGGTGGTGATGGCAGAGTGGCTGGAAGCCTCATCTGGCTGCTATTGTTGTTCTTTCCTGACATTCTTTCCCTGCAAAAATTCTCTTGTTAAGAAATTTGGAATGCAGTTATGGCTGCCTTTAATGTATTCTATATCAAAATAAAAAATGCTTAATATGGCCTGCCATCGTGCAAAAATCTGTTTTGATGCAATGTTTTGAACATCTTTTTGTAAAACATGTTTTGCAAATTTGCAATCAACTCTAACAAGAAATTTTTGATTTAATAAATCATTTTGAAATTTACTAATGCATAATACAATAGATAATATTTCTTTCTTAATAGTACTATAATTAGTTTGTGCAGAATTCCATACTCCTGAATGGAAACGGACAATTTGTTCAGGGGTATCGAAAGAAGTTTTTTGCTTGAGGATACCTCCATAACCGATATCAGATGCATCAGTTTCAACTATCTTAAAAGAGTTGGGAGTTGGAATGCCAAGACAGGGCAATGTCTTAACATGAGTTTTAATCTGTTTGACAATGGAGGTGTGATTTGGAGACCAAGATGGAGGATTATCTTTAAGACGATCAAATAATGGTTTACACTGCTGACGAAGATGAGGATAAAATTCTTATACATAATTTAATGATCCAAGGAATCTTTGGAGTTGGGTTTTATCAGTAATCTGATCTGGGAATTTTTCTGCAAATTGGATAACTCTATCTATGGGTTGGATGGTAGATTGGTGGATATTGTATCCTAAAAATCTAACATCCGTCTGAAACAGTTTAATCTTAAAGGTAGAAACTACTAATCCATTGGACTTAATGATTCTGGCAAACAAATGCAAATGTTTCCAATGTTCGTCTATAGACCTTGAATAAATAAGCACATCATCAATGTAAACAATCGAAAAATGGCTATACTGATTAAAAATTTCATTCATAATATTTTGAAGTTCACTTAGAGAATTTTTCAAACCAAATGGCATTACATTCCATTCATAATGTCCAAAAGGAGTTACGAAAGTTGTTTTGTATTTATCAGATTCATTGATTTGAATTTGCCAAAAGCCTGATTTCATATCAAATTTTGAAAAAATAACTGCTTGAGAAAGTCTTTTGATTAAATTTCTTTTGTTGGGAATTGGATATCTAATCCATTCCAAAACTTCATTGAAGGGTTTATAGTTAATAACTAATCTGGGAGTTCCTCTTTCTAATTCTGCATTTTTCTGAACATAAAATGCAGGACAAGACCATGGTGATTTACTTTTACGGATAATTCCTTTATTAAGAAGTTCTTGGATTTCTGTTTTACAGAATTCCATGACTTCTTGACTCATCTGGATGGGTCTAGCCTTAGTAGGTATTTTAGACTCATTAAACTCCTTTATATAAGGAAGTTTAACTATGTGTTGCTTACGGTGCCAAAAAGCATTGGGGATATCAGAACAGACTTCATTAATAAGTTTCTTTTGAAAATTATTAATAGTTTCTAACAAAGACTTATTTGTTAGCTGTTCTTCAATTCTTTTGTGATTAATTTCTTCTTTTAAGAAATTAATATGCTGTAACTTATTAGTGATAATACTAATAGTTTTTGAAATATTGTTTTTCTGTAAGTGTCTTAGTTTTTTTAGGTCTGTTTCCAGGCAGAACTCAAATGTGACTTTCTGTCCTAAGACTCTGGTGGTAATTTTATTATGATAAACTTTAAAGGGATATATGAGTGCTAAAAATGGAAGTCCTAATATAATTGAATCAGAAACATTTTAGATCAAAACAAATGAGGTTTTGAAACAAACATTATTTTGGCAAACATGCGCTTTAGGTATTTCATATTTCAAATGCATAGGTGATTGATTAGCAGCACTAAGTATTTCTGTTGATTTATGAAAATATTTAGTAGGTATTAACCCTTCTTGAATACAATTTAAATCTGTACCTGAA